AGGGACCTACTACTGCTGACCTGGGCACCTAGTAGGTCCTCAATAAATGAGGATGTGGGGAGTTCCTGAAATAACTCGATAGCTCAACTTCTCTAAACCTCAGTTTCCTCTTCTTAAAAAAGAAAAAAAAAAAAAAAAAAGTACCTCTCTCCTGTAAGTAAAGCATTTAGAAAGGTGCGTGGCATACAAAGAGTGTTTAAAATGACCGCTTCCGCCGAAACCGGTTTGGCTCAGTGGATAGAGCATTGGCCTATGGACAGAAGGGTCCTGGGTTCGATTCCAGTCAAGGGCATGTCCCTTGGTTGCAGGCATATCCCCAGTGGATGTGCAGGAGGCAGCTAGTCGATGTTTCTCTCTCATTGATGTTTCTAGCTCTCTATCCTTTTCCCTTTCTCTCTGTAACAAATCAATAATATATATATTATAAAAAAAAATAAAATAAAAAAAAAACACTTTAAAAAATACATTAAAAAGCCGAGGCCGGTTTGGCTCAGTGCTAGAGCGTCAGTCTGCGGACTGAAAGGTCCCAGGTTCGATTCCGGTCAAGGGCATGTACATTGGTTGCAGGCACATCCCCGGTAGGGGGTGTGCAAGAGGCAGTTGGTCGATGTTTCTCTCTCATCGACGTTTCTAGCTCTCTATCTCTCTCCCTTCCTCTCTGTAAAAAATCAATAAAATATATTTTAAAAAATAATAAATAAATAAATAAATAAATAAATAAATAAATAAATTTTTAAAATTACTCCTTTCCTCCTCCCCGTCATCCTTAATCTCTGGCTCAGCTCCCTCCGCACACTCTCCATCCTCTTCACTCCCAGCTGCCCGCCTCCAGCTGCCCTGAGATTCCCACTGAGAAAGAGACTCGTCACAGGCCAGCGCTCAGGAGAGCAGACTCCCCGCCACGTCCCCAGCCTCCCAGTTTCCTGCTGGCGGCTCAGGCTCCTCAGGCCAAAGCCTCGGGGTTCCCTCTGAGACGTGCCCGGCGGCTGGCTAACCACTGAGCCTGCCACGTCTGCACAGTCTCTCGGATGAGACCACAGCCCAGAGAGGGGTGTGTACAGGCCCAGGTGGCAGTCTCTGGGCTCGGGACTAGTTTCCTTGTCTGTAACGGGGGGATAAAGGGAAGATAAATGGCAGCGTATAAGTAGGGCGGTCGTATGCTGCCTCACACACAGCTCTCAAAGAGGGTGCCAGGTTAACGTAAGGAAGGACATGGGTCCTCGGTGCCCCATCAACTTCACAAACACAACGTGAGCCCCACGTGCCAGAGCCCTCCGGGCCGCTCTGCAGCTTCTCAGCCCAGGCTGGGGGCGGGGCTGCCAGGTGCTCCCTCATCTGGCTGGTCCCCCAGCCCTGAGGCTCCCTTCCCACAGCCCTGGCTACCTGCATGCTGACCTTGACCTCTCCCTCCCATCTCAGCTCCCAGTCCTTTGTACCCAGTCTGTCTCCTGTGCTTTGGGGCTCAGGCGTTCTGCTCTTCCCCAGGCTTTACATACACACACACACACACACACACACACACACACTCACACACACTCACTCACACACACTCACTCACACACACTCACGCATATACACACACACACAAATACATACACACACAAATACACATATACTCACTCACACACACAAACACACACACACACTCACTCACACACACATACATACACACACACATACATACATACACACACACACACACACACACACACACACACACACACACGGCTGCTCTTCAGATTTGTAATGCATGTCTCACAACTCCAACCAGTTAAAAATAATACGAGTTGCCCCAATATCCATTTAAAGATGAACGAGTAAACAAAATGTGGCCCCCGCTGACTGGTTTGGCTCAGTGGATAGAGCGTTGGCCTGCAGACTGAAGGGTCCCTGGTTTGATTCCCGTCAAGGGCATGTACCTTAGTTGCGGGCACATCCCCAGTAGGAGGTGTGCAAGAGCAGCTGATCGATGTTCCTCTCTCATCGATGTTTCTACCTCTCCCTTCCTCTCTGTAAAAAATCAATAAAACATTTTTTTAAATGTGGCCCATATACACAATGGAATATTACTCAGCCTGAAAACAGAATGAAAATCCAACATGTGTTATGAGATGGGTAAACCCTGAGGACATGATGCTGAGTGGAATGAGCCAGTTACGGAAAGACAAACAGTGCAGGATCACACTTCTACGGGTGCCCTGAGCGGTCAGGCCCACAGAGACGGAAAGCAGAATGGTGGCTGCCAAGGGCTGAGGGACAGGAGAAATGGTTAAGTTACTATTTCATGAGTCTGGAGTGTCAGTTTGGAAAAATGAAAGGCTCTGGCGATGGATGCAGTGAGGGTTACACAGCAATAGGAATGTCCTTCGTGTCACTGAGCTGTACACTGAGAAAGGGTACATCTTACATACAGTTCGCCACAATCTTTTATAAAGGAAAATGATGACAAGGGCGGGAACTGGCAGGGATGAAATGCAAGCCCGGGCCAATGTTCGACCAGAGAGAACCCAGGGGGCAAAATAAGCAAGAAACACTCCGCTGCTCAGGTTTCCCCGAGTCCCGCGGGCTCCAGCCCCCTCGTCACAATGTCCCGGCCACACACTGAAGGCCAGATGGGCTGGCGGATACGTCAAAGCCACCTTAGAAACAAGCTCCGGCTCAAGGAAAAAACCCTCAAATAAATCAAAGCCAGCTCCCTGCCCCCAGCTGTGCCCAGAAAGAGCACACAGATATCTCCTACATCCCCCTGGCAGGCGTTAGCCTGGGTTTTCCCCAAACCACAGGTTGGGCCTGACTCGCTAGCAGGAAAGGAGTTGACACCAGGAACAATAACGCCAACGCACATTTGGATGGGCAGACAGAACTTCCACAGGCCGGACAATGACAAACCTTTGTCAACTCTTTACGGAAAGCCAAGCTGAGGGAGAAGTTTCTCCCTTTGTCCAGTCTCCATTGTTCCGCTGAGCCTCTGGTGGGATGGACACGGTCATCCCAGACATATAATAAAACCTTCCTGCAGTATAATCTTTAAAAAAAAAAAAAAAAAAAAAGCCGAAACCGGTTTGGCTCAGTGAATAGAGCATCAGCCTGTGGACTGAAAGGTCCCAGGTTCGATTCCAGTCAAGGGCATGTACCTTGGTTGTGGGCACATCCCCGGTGGGAGGTGTGCAAGAGGCAGCTGATCGATGATTCTCTCTCATTGATGTTTCTAACTCTCTATTTCTCTAACTCTCTCTTCCTCTCTATTAAAAAAAAAAATCAATTAAAAACAAAACAAAACAAGAGCGATACATCAACTGTCAATAGAAGGTATGGGGGCTTATTTTTCTTCTTTTTGTCTATTTTTGATATTTCCTACCACTTTTTTTTTTTTTTTTTAACATTTCTTTATTGATTTCAGAGAGGAAGGGAGAAGGAGAGAAAGAAAAACATCAGTGATGAGAGAGAATAACTGGTTGGCCGCCTCCTGCATGCCCCCTATTGGGGATCGAGCCCGCCATCCAGGCATGTGCCCTTGGCTGGAATCGAACCAGGGACCCTTCAATCCGCAGGCCGACACTATCTCCTGAGCGAAGCCGGTTAGGGCTCCTACCACATTTTTTTTTAAATGAAGCCAAAAGCTAAGCTCAGCAGGGATTCCATGGCCAAACTCTCTCTCATTAAGTCCTAAGGACAACCTCCTGAGAGCCCAGGCTGGTCCGTGACCACAGAGTCCCATGGACCAGGATGCAGAGGCCACACGCTTGAAGGGGATGCTCTGAAGGCCTCTGAGCATCCACCCCTGCTCGGCACCCAGAGGGGTCTGTGCACAGAGAAAGGAAGGGGGAGGAGGAAGACCAGAGGAAGAAAACAGGAAGCCCCACTTGGCAGCCTCCGGCGGTGGGCCCCACCCCTTCACCCTCAGGAAGGTCGCCGTGGTGCACAGACAGACAGCCACCTGGCACAGGCCCAGACGGCCCCCGCCCACCCGCGGCGATGAGATGTGACATCCGCCCCCGCCTCGGCCTTGGAGCATCCTTCCAGCTCCTCAGCTGCAGGCCAGCAAGGTCCCCTGGGGCTGAGGGACAGGGGTCACTCGGAGACCTCTCCGCCCTTCTTCCTGCCCCACCTGCAGAGAGGCAGGACTGGAAGGGGAGGCTGTGCAGGCTCCGGGCAGGAGGCCCTCGGCGTTCATCTTGAGCTCGGCCAGTGGACAGTGAGTCAGTCCCAGGCCCCCGGGGGCCGGCTGTTATGTAATTAGACCTGATGACTCAGTGCCTTGTCCACGGGACTCAGTGATTGTCATGATCATTTATGCTCACAAGGGCTCCGAGGAAGGAGCAGCAGGCAGGGACCAGGGTCAGGGATCTTCTCCTTCCCCATCCACATGCCTGGCCATCGGGGGCCGAGCGGTGGCACAGGCACACCCCGCATCTCAGCGGTAGCCATCCAAGGGAGACACACACTGAGAGCAGAACCAGCTTCCCTGCGGCCCCAGCAAGCGCCTGACCGCAGCTGCCCTCTGCTGCCCCTTTCCTGGTCTTGGTGCCTCAGCTGCCTGTTGGCTCTCAGGACAAAGAACCAGTATTTCAAGAGAGGCGAATGGCTAATTGCTCCTACACTGGGAGAAGGAGAGGGATGGAGTGAGTCTTCGCCTGCTGCCGACAGGCAGTCATTAGGAGAGGGCAGAGCAGGAGCCTGATGTTCTGGAGACATCCTTCCTCCGCCTGAGCTGGGACGTGGGCCTGGGCACCATGTCTGGGGGCAAAATGGCGCCCACAGGCCCATCCAAGCATCAGCACCCACCCTCTGTGAAGAGCACCCAGAGCCGGATGCAGGCAGTCTGTGGGGAGGGGGTGAGAAGAGCTGACTCCAAATGCAACCAATGACAAAGCCATGCTGTTCCCCATCACACGGAGCTCGCACCTCTAACTTGTAAGGGACACGGAAGTCAGAAGGCGCACCCAGCAGCGGCTAGTATGGTGGGCAGAGGCCAGGAGAGGACCCCGGGGCTATCTTACCTGCCGGGCCACCCTCCGCGCCTCCCAGTAGGGCTTGGAGTCTTCCACGGCTTTGCCGATCTTCTTCAGCAGCTCGTCCAGTTTCACCGTGGCTTCCACCAGCACAGAGCGGAACTTCTGCCGAGCATCCTGCAGCCAGGGGAGATGGAGGAAGCACAGTTCAGGCTTAAGAAGGAATCTGGGAAAATCTGCCTGACCTTATCACAAACACCAAGGATGGGCCTCACTCAGCCTACAGGCACCCAAAACCTTCCCAGACAGTGTCTACAGCAGCACCATCTAAAGAACTCTTTCTGTGTTGTCGGAAGTGTTCTCACATCGGCACTGTCTGGTGCGGCAGCCACCGGCCACACGTGAACACTGAGCACTTGAAATTGGCTGGTGAGCCCTGGCTGCGTAGCTCGATTGGTTAATGTCATCCTGATACACCAAGGTTGTGGGTTCGATCCCCGACAGGACACATACAATAATCAACCAATGAATGCATAAATAAGTAGAACAGTTCGATGTCTCTCTCTAAGTAATAAAAAAATAAATTTAAAAAGAAAAATTTTATATTTAAAAATAATAATTGGCTGGTGAGACTGAGAAAATACATTTTATTTAATCTTAATTAAATACATTTAATTTTTTTTTAAGAGAGAGAGGAAAGGAAAGAAGGAACGAGAGAGAGAGAGAGAGAGAGAGAGAGAGAGAGAGAAAACATCAATCAGTTGAACCCGTAACCTGGGCATGTGTCCTGACCCCAGGAATCAAACTAGTGACCTGCTGGTGCATGGGATGATTCCCAACCAATCGAGTGAGCCACACGGGCCAGGGCTATATGTAAATTTTAAAAATAAATGACTAATGACTACTACATTAGACAGCACAGGCTAGATGAAAAAGCTCTGTCGAGATCCTCAAGGGAAGATGTCCAGTCGACCGCCCCAGCAGCTTAGCCCATAATGATGGCACCATTTCCTGCCCTCCCATGGAGTCCTCAATCACATGCCGTGGTCAAGATGAAACACTAAGAGCAAACTGCCCACATGGCAGATCCTGTGCTGGGCCTTGGGCTTGGTCCCTGCCTTCAGGCCACTTCCAATCTGGTGGGTAAGTCAGGCATTTACAGCCCAGTCCAGAAGTTGGTGCCAGGATGGAGGTGGTACGGGTGCCATGGAAACCAGCAGTGGAGACCCTCACTAGGCCAGTAGGACAGAACCCTCCCAGAGCGGGGATATGTGCACAGACGCCTAAAGCATGAATGGGCATGGATGGGGGAGGGGAGAGGAAATACCGAGTCCCAAGCGGGCAGCAGAGCCCTCAGCCAGAGGGGAGAGGGAGAAAGGGAAGAAAGCTGAAGTCTGGAATGTGGAGAATGGCAAGAGATAGCGGCTGCCTCCTTAGGATGGGTGGCCACCTTATCAGGGTGGTGAGGCCTGGGGCGGGAACCAGGTGGAGGGGCAATGTTGAGAGTATTACAATGACATCTGTAATTCTCTCAACAATAAAGATTTAAAAAATAAAGATAAGATCCAGGCCTTGATAAGAGTTTGGGAGAAACAGGCAGGTGACCCACGCCAGGCCTAACCACGGGGTAAACGTTGAGAAACAAGACCCGTGGACATCGCCGGAGGGCAAATTTTTTTAAAAAAGAAATTTAGTCCAGTGTCTGGGTCACACTGGAGGTCAGGTCAGTATCTCACAGACCCCACATCCCTCTCTTCCTTTTCCCTTAGGCATTTGCCTGATGTGGCCACACCTTGGGTGTGGGGGGGAAGGGGGCGTATGTGTGTGTAGGTGGGTGATATGTGAGGGTGTGGGGGGGGGTGTGTGTGTGTGTGTGGGTATGTGAGGGTGTGTGTGTATGTGAGTGTGTGTACCCATGCACACACGTGCCTTTGAGAAAGGGGAAATGGGCACTCAGAGAAGAAGGAACAACACATGATCACCAGCCCTGGGGCTGCCCCAAGACCGAACAGCCTCGTGCTGGTAAAACACATGCGGTTCCCTTGGCTGCAAAGCACCTGCCTTGCAAGTAATTACCGGAAAGCGATTTCTAAACAGCAAATGGCAGGGGCATGGTGGGCCAATGGGATGGCCCCTGGGGGCAAGGGAGACTCCAGTCACTTCTCTTCCCATTCCCCTGTCATGCAGTGCCAGACACTTCTGACATCGGCCTGGGTCCCTGCCCCCCACCCTGTCATCACCATGATTTTCTCTACCTCTCCCCTGGCTGGCTGGGCCCTCAGTCAAGTGATCTGCCAACACTGGACCCCCATCCCCACCTGGCAACCACTGGCTAGAAGGGGAGCCGAAGACGCCCCTCTGAGAGAGACGGCCCTTTCTGTCCCCAACCCCCCACCGCCACCCCCGCGCCTGAGCCACACCGGCCTGCTTCACTCTCTCAGGTTCCCTGCCAACTCCTGGAGGCTTCTGATTTGCCAAGAGCTGTTCTGGTCACTAATGAATATACCCACCAACTCTGTCCTCCTAAGACAGAGGGCTGCCCGGCACAGATGGACCTTCACTAAGTGGCTGGCACCAGCATCAAGGCTCGATTCCACCAATCTGTGTGATCGCTAACACCCTTATCAGGTAGGTGCTGCTGCTGTCATTCACATTTCACAAAGAGGGAAACTGAGGCACGGAGCGAATAGCTAACTTGCCTAAAGAGACACAGCTGGGAGTGGTGGAGCCAGGATTTAGACTCAAGCAGTGAACAAACAAGTACAATTGGGTGAGATGAGTACCGAGACCTCTGTATGCGCACTGGGCAACTGACCCCCAACTGGAAAGGTCACCCAACAGAAGTGTCATCTAAGTCAGGCCTTGAACAAGGGCCTTTCACGAGGTAGAGAAGGAGGGCATTAGCAACTGAGGGCCCAGCACCAGCAAAGGATGGCAGATGGGAGGTCCGTGGAGGCTGCAGGGAGGAAGGGCCTGTGTGCCATATTAGGCATCAGAACTTGATGCCATGCACAATGGGAGACAGTGGGGTTTTATAGCGAGTCTCCACTTACTTTCCATATACCCTGGTGAGAAATGACTGAAGAATGCCTTCTACCACGAGTAAAGGGAATTGTACTTTACTAGATGGCTGCCTTGTCCATAGCACTTACAGAGCTGCAGCAATGTCGGCATCAGATACTGACTACACAGTAAGTCTGCTGGGAGGAAAGGGGACGAGACGGGAGAAGTGGGTGTGTGGTGGGGGCCAGAGGGTGGAAAGAGTCTGAAATCTCACCTTCCATAGTGGGATGGCGGCAGGTAATAAAACGGAAAACTCAACAAGTAGCCACACGAAGTCTATTATTTAGAATAACGGAGGTAAATAAAAACTACATAAACCACTAACATGTGTTAGACTCATCTATTAAACTGCCTCTAGGGGAGGAGAAAATGGAGGGAGGGTAGGAGACTAGAATACTAGTGGGGTGACCAGCCAGTGTGGTTCAGTGGTTGAGCACTGACCTATGAACCAGGAGGTCACAGTTTGATCCACACTCAGGGCACATGTCCAGTTGCAGGCTCAATCCCCAATATAGGGGGCATGGAGGAGGCAGCTAATCAATGATTTTCATCACTGATGTTTCTCTTTCCCTCTCCCTTCCTCTCTCTGAAATAATAATTTAAAAAAAAAAAACATATTTAAAAAATAAAGAATACACCAAAACCGGTTTGGCTCAGTGGATAGTGCGTCGGCCTGCGGACTGAAAGGCCCCGGGTTGGATTCCGGTCCATGTCTCTCGGTTGCAGGCACATTCCCAGTGCGGGGTGTGCAAGAGGCAACTGATCGATGATTTTTTCTCATCGATGTTTCTAACTCTCTATCCTTCTCTCTTCCTATCTGTAAAAAATTAATAAAATATATTTTTTAAAAATAAAAAAGAAAGAATACTAGTGGGGGTTTTGTTTGTCTCTTTTTATTGTGGCAAACCACCACATGGATTTGTAAGCCAATCTGGGTTTTACCAAAGAGTGAACCAGGCTCCTCGGGGGACTCCACCGGCCTGGTTAAGTGTGTTACCACCAAAGGGATTGAACCCAAGAAACTTGCTTTGAGATCAGCATCTCCCTCCGTCAACAGGCTGTGTTGCCAGGGCCAATGATGTATGACTGGCTGACGACCAACCACAAACAAGCCTATTCATCCGAGATGTGTTACAAGCCAAACACAAAGCCAGCCTTCTCCCTGACAAGATAGAGCGGACCCGATTTTGCCACCGTCCCACAGAGGATCGGAGCGACTCCAGTGACAATTCTCTACAAATACTGGGTTTGGGGGCCCACAAGCCAAAACCTTTCCTGCCTGACTAACCGAACTGCCCTGATTTCCTGGGCCTCCCCTGGTCCCGGAGTAGGCTGTGACCCAGGCCTGGCCAGGTGGTTGTGGATATTCCCAGCCTCAGGGATAGCTGAGGGAGGCCATCAGAACCAATGACCTGTCAGTACCAAGAAGACTTCCCTCTGGGACTTTCCGGAAACGGTGAGAAAGAGGAATTTCTCCCCTGAGAAGGCTTAGTGATTGGAATGAACACTTGCAGCAGATGGCAACCATCTTGCACCATGAGGGGAGAGCCTGATAAAAGGGGGAAGGGATGAAGGGGGGATGGAGATAGTGGAAGGCAGGGGGAGTCCCAATGACATCCGAGCTTCTGGACCTAAAAATGCTTCCCAGTTTAACCACTTTCCCTGGAGCTAAACTAGCACACATACCCCCAACTGTCACCACTGCTTCATGTTATGTTGAAGCAGATTGGAACTAGCTTTCTGTCACTTGCGATCAAATCAAGTCATAAAAAAAGGATTGAAAAACAGGCCCTAAGGACGTCCAATTTATATAGACAGGAGAGAAGGGACAATCTACAGCCGTACTTAAATACGGAGAGCTGATGGAGGGCGCTGCCCCCGACAATAGACAATAGGGCATGTGTGCAAGGAGCAGAGCCTGGGAATGTGATTCAGCCGAACACTTATAAAACTTTCCTTTAAGTCCATCCGAATGCCAGCTGGCCGCACCTGAAAGCCAGCTCGTCTCCACTGAACCTGTGCTTTCTGCCGTATTTCCTAGAAATTTCTGAGAAGAGGTGACTGCAGTCCTTTGTCTCCTACCATTGCTGGCAAGTGTGTCTCCCACGATCAGA